TGGCCAATGGCAAGGTAATCCAGGATGGTTGCTTCAATGCCAAGCCAATCTGGACTTGTCAGGCAGGTTAGTTCTCTGTGTTTCGATACTCCTGGCTTACTTTATGGGCTTGCAGTTATTTTGTGGTCTGAACAACATAAATATTAAGTATTAAAAATCAACAATGTTTAAGAAAAACATTAACTTCGAATTTAAGTATGTTTTTTGGCTGATACTACACATTTTGGGAATATAACAAGCTGGAACCTTATCTAGATGATAGGATCATATTGCTCATAAAAATAGGTATAATATAATATAAGTTAAAGTATAGAGATTTATACAGTTTAACTTTGTTAGAAGAAGTTTAGAAGAAGAAAGAAATGTTCCATTTAAAATCGATAGACTACATTAGGCCTTTAACAACATTCGGAATAAAATCAGAAACCCGAACTGCAGCAACAACAGGCGCCAAACCCCACTGTAAAGCCAACGTGCAACATCAGCTACTAGAAGCAGCAGCAATAACAACAACTAACTGTGGCAATTGCGTAAATGATGTTCTAATACAACATCAATTACAATGGCAAGCGGCCCATGGCCAAAACGGTAATGATGTAGTCAGCCTCCGAGTTGCGTTTCAGTCGAGTCTACTGGTCTCTTCAGTTGGAGCCACTTGTGGCTTGTGCTCCCCAATAAGCTTTGCTTGCGGCATTCACGCCTTGTTGTAGCCAGCCTCATCCTCATCTTCATCCTCATCCTCCTCAGCCTCATCTTCAATCTCTGTTGTTCTGCAGTTGTGTAGCTGTTATCGTTGTCGCTGAACCGGCTGGTTGGTCTGGCAGACATGTCCCTGTACTCAACATCTCTAGTGTAGTTCCAAAAGTATAGATACGCTGAGGAAAAAGAATGTTATTTGAAAGATTTTGACTTATAATGAATTCTATAGATAATCTACTTGCTATCAGAACCACAGGCGAAAACAACTGCAGTTAACTGATTATTTATATTATTTTAGCTTAACTTTATTGGAATAATAATGTCAATATTAATTGATAACTACAAATATATAATTAAAAATTTAACAACTATTTAACAGTTTTCTTTTTTGTGTAATTACCCTGTATATCAAGAAAATATATATTATTAAATGCCAGGAGAGTGGGTCCATATTCGATATCGAAGACTTTGTACACTCTTAATATCTTGTTTTAAGTTTACAATTTTTTCTCTGTTTCAAAACAAAACTTACCTTTAAGGAGATTATCCTACTGATACAAAAATATATATCAGTCAAAAATTATAAAAATTACCGCAAAAAGTTTCAAAGTTATTTATAAAGAACTGGGGTATCTTACCGTCGAAATCTTATATCTGTCTCCCATTTCTTGGCGAATTCCAGAAAAAATTTCATGCATGTTGCAGCCGTTGTTGGGTGCAGAAGCAGCAACAGCGGCAGCAGCAACAATAACCGTTTTACGCATGCGTGTGGCTACTGGGCCTGTTGCACCTGCTCAGCCCCCTCGACCCCGCCCCCTGATCAACCAACAACAGCAACAGCAACAGCTGACTGAGGCACGGCTTCAATTTATGTTTTAATTGTGGAAATTATGTGACATATGTTGCTGCTGTTGTAGTTGTTGCTTCTGTGAGGATCTGGAAGACCGGGGACCCGACGTCTGTCATAACTGGTAAAGTTGTAATTAAACTGGTGGTGAGACCACCACCCCCTCACTGCCTCGTCTGCCTCTTTCCAGCGGGAAAGCTCGTCTTGCGTCGCGTACGTTGCCGCCCATCAGATGAAATTGTCTGGAATGGGGAGACAGCGTTTTGTGGGTTTTTCTCGGGCTGGTTGTAAACATTTTACGGTTGTTTATTGCCGCCAATTGATGTATGGGTGGATGGATGTTGGATGTTGGCCGATGGTCTATGGTCGATGGTACCATCGTTCGTACGAATGTGAGCAGATGATAGAGGAGTCAATCGAATGGGGCGCTTGATCGATATGGGGGCAATAATGGGTGGGCTTTGCGGTGGCTTACTGGTAAATTGAATTTGTGCAGTTAGAAATTAGTTGGGCCCGCAAATTACAAATTTTGATGGCTTCCTAAAAATGAGTTTTAGTTTTATAGTTTTAGTGCTACCAATTAACATTTACTTGAGATTTATCACATAGTTTAAATCTGCTTAAAAAATCCATCTTACGTATGTTAGTATTTATTTTAAATTAAAGAAAATTGAATGGATTAAAGCTAGCTTTTTTCCTAGTAATCTTTAAATATTTGAACCTATTAAAAGAATTTTATTTATCTTACACTATTATTTAATAGTTTATTGACCGAACTGAAATTTAATATGTTTTTAAGCAGGCATAAAAAGTCAACCCCTTGTTAATAAACTTAAAAACCAAACCAAATTCCGTGTGAAAACTGTATAATTACACTATTTTAAGTTGTTATGGTTATTACTTTCGTTGTTGTTTTATGCCCGAGAACAACTCTAACTGCACTTTGATTGATTGATTGCCCCCAAGTCCGAGGAGTTGTTGACTTTACAGCGTGTTTATGGCTGCGCTTGAGTGTTGAACCCAAATGAACCCAACAGACAGCAACAACCAACAACCAACACCCAACACAAGCCAACCGCAAACAGTACCGCCAAATCTTCCAACCGCCGCTCCACCCACTGGATTTATTATATGTACGTAAGGTGAACATTATGGAGTGTTTTGGAAATGAAGGCTCGTTGCCTAACCATAACGGTAATGGTGGACCAACAACCGGAGCGGGCCAAAACTTTGGGTCACCTTCCGAGTGCCAGTCGGGGATCTTTAATAATAAAAATCAAAATACCGTCACGTAAACCGATAACAAGGCACAAGACCTGGCGTCTGTGCTGAAATCGGAGTTACTGCCAAAACGCAATTAAGACCGACATTTTTATGGTGTTCAAACTATAAAATTCATATAATTAAATTGCAGTTATAACTATAACAGCAGCAACAAAAGCCGCTCCAGCACCAACACCACCGGCAGCACTAGCAACACCAGCACTAGCAACACCAGCACTAGCAACAGCAACATGAAGCAGCAACAACATCATCGAGCGAAACTATCATAAAGCTTGGATCAAACTCTCAGCAGAGAGTGAATAATTTCCTAAATGAGAGTATAAAGTGAAAATCAATGGAATCCAAGAACAACAAGAGCAGCAGCAACAACAACAACAATAGAGTTACAATCGCTGAGCATTATCGAAAATTTTCAAAGAAAAGCAAGAGCAAGATCACGATGCGGCTGAATTAGTTGCGGATTGCGGAAGTATCAACAGCACCCTACATTTTTTAGTATTTTAAATTTATTAGACATTTAATTTTTACAGCTAATTAAACTGGATCCTTTCGGGAAAACCCATAAACCATTTTAAAAGCCAGTCTTATTATTTCTATTGTTACCGGCAAAAAGGGTATACTGGATTCAAGCCAAATGTATCTAACAGGAAGCGTTTCCGATTACCGTTTACGATGGTTTTGGACAAAAAGATGTTAGGTAAGGAGCGGATATTTCAAAGTCGGGGATCTCTTTAAGTCGGCTTCTTTAATAATACAAAGTGATTAAGCAATCTTGGCATGAAGTCCTTTGTATTAAACTGTAAACGATGATAGATTAAATCCCCGTTAAGAATGCAATTTAAAAATGAGGCTTTTATTTTATTTATAAAACTTGGTGATTATTGGTAATTATTTATGTATTTTGTAAAAATCGATAAAAACAAACAATAATTGTCGATAAACTAACTTGAATTTGCATGTCCAATGACAATGGCAATAACACGGTTATAATTTGATCATAATTAAGCCAATTAAGATTCAATTTTCCAATTATTCTTATGGCTATAAAACTGCAAGCAAAAAAGAGAGGAGCAAAAAAAGCAAAGCCGGCAGTGCCAAAAAACCAATAAAAACTCGCTAGTCCCAAAATTAACTGCTCTCTCCCTCTGTACCTCACTCGTTCACTCCCCTGGTATTGCACTTGTGCAGCAGGTGTCGAAAGCTCTCTTCTCTTTGGCTCTCCGGGAGCTTTTCAAACCGTTGTTTTGTTTTTATTTACTTCGCTCGCTCTTTCTGCTTACTTTAGCGGGTTTCGTGCCGGTTATTGTTGTTGCCGTTGCTTTGGAGTTGGTATTTTCATTGATGAAAATCCCACAGCATTTTTGGGAGAGTAACAACTGAGAGCCAAAAATCCAGTTACAGTCGGTGCCCAAATATTGGTACGTTGTCAAAATATAAGGTTAATAGAAATATTTTATATGTAACGGTTTTTTTTTAAAATCTTTTAATTCACATAAGGAAGTATTATACTTATATCTGCGTATAATAAAATATCTGGATATTATTTTTATATTAATATTATATTAATATATTAATATATTGTAATATTTTGAAATTAATTTTAAATATGTATTTATATTGATAAACTTAGTACATGTATCACTTGCAATTGTTTGGGTAAATCAATTAAACTTTGATTTAAAACCATACGAAGTGCATCAAGTCAATTATAATTGCCAATTTCTGCTGCCAATTTAACAAAAGTTTTCCAGTTTGACTTTATCACTGAAAGTTCAACATTTCCACAGTTGTTAACATTTCCGAACAGACAAAATGTCAACCGAGGAAAACAGGAACAACGATATTAAGCAGATGTCAAGGTTTTTATTAGTTAGGTTTTTCCTGTTTCACCTTTGCTCTCGCTCTCTCCCTCTTTCTTTGATGAGAGAAATACTCTTGGAAATTTCGCGAATAACTTTTGGGAAACAGCTGAGCGCTGAAACTCTCTCCCTCTGGTTTTTACTCTCCAAAAGTAACAGCAGGTGCAGTGCAACAAGTGCCGATCGAAGCTTTTCCTCTTGGCGCTCTCACGCTCTCAGTTACTGTTGGTAACTGTTAATTAACATGGCAATAACAGAACAGTGGAAAGAGCTGCAAAGCGAGTCAAGTCTTTATAGTCTGCGACTCGGACTCCACAGTTGAAAAAAAACTTTCGTGCGAGACAGACGTGTGTGACGGAACTCTTTGACTCTTTTATTCGAATTCGAACCAAAACCAAACCAAACCAAAATCCAACTGCTAACTGCAACTTTGGCGCGACTTTTCGCGAAGTGAACGAGCTGAAAGCCAAGCGAAATTAGATGTGAAAAACGAGTGTGCATGGCAGGCAGAAGAGAAAGAAATAAGAAATAAGGTGCATATGTGCAGCAAGTGTAACGATACCCAATACCCAGGCTAAAGCTAAAATAAAAAAAAAAGTTAAAACACAAAAAACAAAAACAAATAATACCCCTTAGTGGCCAGCAGCCATGTCTACGAAACTGGAGCAGCAGCAGCACTCGAAGCCCATTCTGAGTCCAACTCGATCCCTGGACGAAGGTTTCGAAAGTGATCCGGATCGGGTTTCCACTGATTCGGAGCATCAGACAAGTGGAACCACTAGCACCGCCACTGCGGCCAATACAGCCAACCAATAACAATGCCAGCAAGTTGGCCCAGCTTAGTTCGGCGGCCACTGGGGGCGCCACTAAGACGTCGGTTGGAGCAACTGCATCCAGTGCATCGATGGTGAATTCCGGTAATGTCAGGGGCGCACTTACTTTGGCTGCCCCCCAGCTGCAGAGGCGGGAGTTTTTCGCAAAGGATCAGGGAAAACTAAGGCATCAGGCACCCCAGCCACAGCCTCGCCTCCAGTACCAAAAACAACGACAACCCCTGGTGCCCAGTGCCGCATCCAGTGTTCATAATCACCGGTTAACTGCATCGCTTCAGCAGGGATCCTCGGGATCTGGCAATATTTTGGGCACCGGAACCGGAACTGGCAACTATCGACGCGGACGACGGCTCCACATGAATCCCCCACGAAACGGCATTCGCTCCCATTCGGTGGACGCCATTTCGCGACACAATCGTCATGGTTACGATCCCAGTAGCCTTATCCTGAAACACGACGGAAATGGCAATATAAGCAGCAGCAATGCCGGTGGCGCCACCACCACCACCCGCATGCTGAACTACAAGACACCGGGCGGAGGCAGTGCAGCCGGAGCCCCAGCAGCCGGACAGGCTCTGCTCGTCCAACCAATTTCCAGTGCCACATTATCCCCACTGGTGGCCGCTGGCGTAGTAGATGTGGTCGAGGGAGGTGGCTCCTCGCCGGTTATTGCCTCGGCCACCCACAGCTTATACACTTTCTATCCGGCGGAGGGGAATCTCCAGGTGTGGCAGACGGAGTGCGGCGACCTCACCTACAAGTCGTCCCGGAATATGCATCAACTACACAAGGCTCCCGTATGCTGGACGCAGTCCATTCCCAGGCAGGCTAGAAGGTGAGTGATAAGAATTTTAAAATTTTGCGTGAACTTTGCGAGAACTAATATTATAGTATTTTTTAAAGTTTTAATACGAAGAACAAACAATTTGATTTTATCTTCATTAAAAGATTGAATTTTAAAATCAAAAATTTGAAGTTTAATCGATTTTCCTTATAAAAGATTAATGATCTATAATAAATAGCTAATATTATTAATATCTAGTGCAGGAAAAATATTGATTAAGCTTAAAAGTTTCTAAGGAAGGTCGTTCAACTAATAACTTAAATACTATTTAATGTTCACAAAGTATAAACCATTTTCGCGTAAATACAAATTTATGAATTCTTTTTATAAAACTTGTCTTGTTAGATTTATCTTTATGCATAAATCATGAATATTTCCGTAGCCATTCGAAATATGAATTATGATTATAGTATTTGCTATGCAGAAATCAATATCTATACTTTTTTGGCAGTATTGGGATATATAAAAATAAGCTTTAGTTTAATTTGTTTAGTTTGTACCGTTTTTTTTTGTGAGCTAAAGCCAACTTTTTATTACATTGATTTAATTTAAATACACCTTCAAACCTTATTTTTATAGCTGGTATTAAGTTTGAAAATTTAATAATGATATATGAGGCATTTCATTAGTTTCATTGAGATTTATTTTTAGAAACTGAAACACTTTCGTTTCCTCTTCCTTCCCTCCTTCTTTTAAGATGGCTACTTAACCTTTTCATGCTCTCTAGTTCAGAGGCGACCATTTGAGTATTATTTTTAGTCAGACGAACTACGCTTAAATCTAGAGCTCAATAAATCGCTCAAAATGTAAGCTAATTAGTTAATGGTTCAGTTTTATTTTTGGCCAAAACGAAGTCAATAGCCATTTCATCTTTAGCGCTCGCTCGGCCAGAGTGAAAGTCTTTTTAACAGCATCGGCAACAGCAGCAACAACAACAATCGGGCCAAGATGCAGAGAGAGGCAGACAGATTCAGAAAGAGAAATAAACACAGAGAGAAAAGGTTGGGGAGAAAGAGAAAGAAGGCACATGTGTCATTTAACCTGGCCGCTGGGCAGGTTGCAGTGTTGCAAGTTGCGCTGTGGCAATTAAAATGCCTTCGGAAACTGATTCACATTGATTACCCTCAGCTGCGTCCCTTAGCAGACTGTTAAAATCGCCTTTACATAACTTAACTTTGCCCGGGGTTCGCCCGAAATGTGTGTGACCCCAAATTAAACGCAAATTGCACACCAAAATTCAGGCACATAAAGTTTGCCAATTTCGCGCTCAACATTTTCAAAAGACATTTTAAGTTTTAGCCTAAATTTGGGTTGGGTTGAGGATTGTTTGGGTTTGGGTCTATTTCGCTAGCTTGCTATAAGACTGTTACAATTTTTGTCTGCGAAATGTGTCTGAAATATTTAATAGCCCTGGCAATCGCTTAACTTTTATGACTCTGAACAGATGTAGAAACGTTGGGGTGAAGGGGCGTGTCATTGGTTAGAAATGGCCAAAAAATAATTGTTTAATGTTTAATTTTATCATTGGCTGGGAAAAGCAAAAATTTTGGTAAAAATGACTCACTTGAATGGGGAAATCAAATGAGGTAAATTATATTAAACATATATATTAGTTTAATATGCTATTATTTTAAAGAGATGCATTAGAGTAATGTGGGTAAATAAATTAGCTGAATGTCAAAAGAAACTAATAATTAGTTTATATATTAATAGATGGGATCATCTAATTGCACTTAAGGCGCTTTAGCTAAGCTTAAGCAAATATCTTGATAAATTAATTGAAACTCTTTTGGTGAGTTTCGATTAAGCCACTTCAAATTGGGTTATATGCTAGATCTTAATAAATTATTCAGAAAGCGAAATCAAGCTTTGACAAATTAGGGAATTGGCAAAAAATCTTTTTTAAACTTTGAACAAATTGGATTGACTTAAAAGTAAATAAACTAAAAAGTGGTTTGATAAACTAATGCCTTATAAGAAACCATATCTATAGGAAGTGTTCTCTCTTCAGTTTTTATGCTTTTTGGAGTAAAGGTGCAACTTTTGTTACCCAAAATTAACTCAACTTAAGATGCTTGTAATACAAATATTATGCAAAATGGGAAATATTTTGAATTTTACTTTCAAATTTCGTGTAATGCTTAAATGACTTTTGATGTAGAAATATCAGGCTCAGTTTCATTTGAATATTTTCATTGCATAAGCACACGCAAATATGTTTATTAAAAGCCTTTTACTTTGACTAAACACCGCCCACTCCAGAGCCGCCACTATCTGCCCCAGTGGGTGGCAGGGGGCTCTCTCGAGTGCCGCTTAAAATGGCAAACATTTCAATCAGCAGGAGCAGACATGCAAAGTGAATCAAAGCGAAAGAAAAAGTGGCAGTGGGGAGTGCAGCTGGAAACGTTGATAAGACTCCCGAAGGGGCATTCAACGCAAATGTGAACAATCAATCAAAAGACTTAGGCAACGAACTTGATTAGTTCAACGCACTTAGCAGTTGTTTTTATGGATGTATAAATTTTCGCTGTTTCTCTGCAACTGTAAGGCTTTCGGAATTTTCACTATTACGACGACTGTGTTGTCGTTGGCGGCTCTCGAGGTTCGATTGATATCGCACTCGAAAACACAACTCACAGCTCTGTTGCAAATCAAATTGCATGATGCGCAAATATTTTAGATTCGACAGCGACTTTAACACCACCACACATAATAAAAGTAAAAGTTTGTTTTTATATTTCGCTTTAGCAAATTTATTTACATAGTTTTCGGTAAATTTTGCTCACCTCTTGGTCTTTTTTACAATGTGTCATACCTTTTGCCCACTTTTGCTTTTCATGAGACATTAGTTGATGCCTGTCTTTTTTCTTGTCTTTTTCTTGGATGCTGTGTGTAGGTGTCCGAGATGCGAAAGTGTTTTTTATGTTTGTGATGTTTTTTAGCGCTTGGCTGGGGTGTTGCTGGAGAGATGAGTTTTTGCTTTCGGCGTGCGAAAGTTTTTTATTTCAGCTGATGAACATGGAGTAGCGTTGTTTGATGTCTGCCCGATAGTGCCAAACTTCCGCTTTATGCATATTATGGGAATTTGCCAAAAAGTATTTGCATTTAATTAGATATTTGCCAGTTGGCCTAACAAATGGTCTTTGCATGCGTGGAGGAGTTTACAAATTGAGTTGCAATTTTTTATGGTAAATTGCCTTGGAAAAGGTGGAAATCGAATTTTATATTGGCCCTTACTTATACCTCTAAGAAATGACGAAAAAAACCTTAATACTATTATCTAAATTCATACTTTAAATCAATTTTCTCGTATTTATTTCTCCAATTATCTGCTTGCAATTAAACTCCCCCGTTAGGCCTTGCTCTTTATGCGCAACTAATGCCAACCCATCAATATCATGGCCAGAACCGATGACATAACTGCCCTTACCAAGGCTGCGTTTTGTGTGCCAAACTTCAATGACGCCATTAAGAGGCCCATAAATTTGTCACTTAACGATCGATGTTTGCCACTTGCCTCTCTGATTCGATAAACAAATGCCGCTAATTGCTCCTCATCAGCCAATCGGGAGAGCTCCAACCATAATTGCTGGCCATCTACCATATGCCGCCGCGGTCGAGGGCTAAATTTTCCTTCTGATTGCTGTTTGCCAATCACTTTGGCTCGCTGCTAGATGGATGATAAACTCGTTGCTCGGCATTCACTTTGATTGCTCATCATTGAGCTCATCATCGAAGCCTCAAATCATCGGCAAATATGGTGCCTAATTAAAAGAAATAAAAGCTTAAGTAGAACCAAAGACGATCTTCCGTATTTGACTTATGATCTAGCTGCTTCTCCGCTTTGCTTGGTGATTTTTTGGCAAAGTAAATAAAAAACTGGAAATTTGTCTGTCAATATTTGTGGCGCAAATCGGAGATCTCTGTGAGCTCTGAGCCTAAAAATAGATCAAGTATTGTAGGATGAGCATCGAGGGGCAGGCAAATGAGACAAGCAAACGGCTTTTGCTAAAATGCTGTGTTGACTTTAAAGCCAAAAGTTGTCACACAAATACGAAAGATTTGAGCAACGAACTTGTAATTTATGCAATAGGATAACTCGGAATGATTCATTTTCTCGACTCAAATCTTAAAGATTTTTCAAGTATTTTCAATGTCAAATTGTTTGGGTAATTGCTTTTTTTAAATACACTTTTGGCACCCACACTTGACGGGTCTGAAACACTTTCAATTTCGAAGCTTTGACGTCTGTTTTAGCACCATTTTTGGTCGAGTCATCAAGACAAAAGAACTATTAAATGGAGATCACAATTCTGTGGAAACTCCAGCCCATGTGCCTCCCTTCTCTCTACTCACCAAATGGCTGTCAATGACATCAGACACTGCTAAAAAAATGACTAAATGTAGAAAAAAAATGAAACTAAAGCAGCCGGAAATGCAGTGCTGAAAAACACTTCCCAAGCCTCTATAGGGTTTCCCGCTCAACTTCTGTTACATTTTTGCCATTTAGCATTTGCCACATTTGTAATTATGCGAAAATGTGAAAACAATACGACCCGGTGGTGGTGAGTCACCAGCTGTCGACACCTGCGACCGCTTTGGGTCACGGGCCAACCATGTGAACTCACATGTGAAGACTCGCCCGGGCGAGAGTCGGGTTCAACTCCGACGTTCAGCGGGGTCGGTGGTGGCAAGCCAAAAAAATGTTAAAATGCAATAAAATTCGTGTGCTTTATGGCAGCGTCTATTGTTCGAGTGCGAGTCATGGTAATTATCCCTGCCATATGGACAAATGAAGTTTAGCTACTGGGGTGTCTCTGTGGTATGCAAAACTAAGTTATTTTTATTTTTAGTTGCAATTTTTCAGAGGGAAAGGGTATCTGATTGACCAACTGTGACTCGGGGGTCGAGGCGGATCCATGGGAATTCGGATATGTAATCTAATTATCCGGTGAATCATTTCATTTTCCGTGAATCTACATTGTTATGTT